GCCGGTGCTGGCCACCTGCGCGGCGCGCCGGAGCGGGGGCGGAGGGACACGTCATCACGCGGCGCCGGGGCGCACCGGTGATGACGTCGGGAGGGCAACGCCAGGGACGGCAAGGGGAGGGGGGATAAAAGGAGCCGGGGGGGCCAGGGGAAAGGGGGCGGAACCGGCGGGGCCAGCGGACCCGACTGGGCAGGAGCCAGCGGCAGCGGGGCAGGAGCCAGCGGCAGCGGGGCAGGAGCCAGCGGCGGCGGAGCAGGAGCCAACGGCAGCGGGGGTGAGACCTGCGGCAGCCAAGCCAGCCGGAGGAGGGGCCCGAGCGAGGGAGGAACAAGCCACGGGAGCCAGGCAAGGAGGCAGCCAAGGCAGCGGGGAGCCCGCAGGGACAGGCGGGTACCCGGAGCAGTGAGGGTCGGCGGAGTGGAGCAAGACCCAGGGCGGGCTGTGTAACCCGAGAGCAGGGGCGTTTTGGGGTACCGGCCCCCCCTGCTACCACTGAGAGGGCACCTCTCAGTGTCAGGGCCCTGGGTTGGGGTCCGGAGAGAGGGCGGGCCCGGACCCCCCACTCCGCCCGGTGACCCAGAGTCAAGTGGTATCCTGAGCGCGGCCTAGGGGCAACAGGAGGGGCGGCGGCCCGGACAGGCGGCCTCGTGACACATGCTTATTCTCAGGAATACTCCATCCTAAGTAAAAATGGGTTTAAGTCAAAGTACATTGCACGACAGTGGGTTGAGGATTCAGGCCCAGTGACTCTCTCTCTCTCTCTGTGCCCACTAAGCTAGATAAGAGTACACAATGCCACAGAACAAAGTTATACATTTATAGGTTCAATATATATTTAGGGAGAAAGCTAGTTTGTTGTGGAATGGGGCGGTGCAGAGAAGCAGGGTTAGGCTTAATCCATTCCATGAATACCAGCTCTGCAGTTTGGATCTGAATCACATTTCCATACAGTTCATTTTTGGCTTCAGGATTTTGGCTTGGGCCTATATCTAGAGGTAGTCCAATGATGAACATATGGCTATCCATCAACCAAATACAGGAAATCCCCAACTTCCGACCACCCAAGTTATGACCGCCCACACTTACAACCATTTTTGTAAGTGTGGAAGGGGCTGAAAACCCGTGACTTATGTCCCCAGCCTGCATTTACGACAGTGTCTGGCACCTATTGTAAATGAGGGTTCGAGTTACAATGCCCCCCGACCTGCAACACTTCCCCGGGAACCAATCACGTCGCAAGTTGGGGGCTTCCTGTACTAATAAGCCTATTGTTTGGAGGGTTTGGGAGATTTTTTTTTTTTTTTTTTTTTTACTTGCACATCTCAGTCTTCAACTCCTCACAAGTTATATCCTCTCTGTACTTTAGTATGTTGCTCTCCCTTGCACAACTTTTCCTTAGAACTAACTGTGCACATTCAAAAAGTGCCCACCTGCAAGTTTACACTAGGCTGTGTCCGAGATTTTTCAAAACTGCCTAAGAAGCCTGCACACCCAATTCCAATGGCAATTGAGCCCCCAAATCTCTTAGCAGGCTTTGAAAAATCCACTAACTTTGCTTCTAGGTCTATAAAGATTCCAAGACCCAAGTAGCTAAGGAACAAGAAGAAACCCAGTCAATCAATTTTAAAAAATCCCATATTTTAAAAAAGCACCCAGTCTACATTTTTCAGAGTATAACAATTAGAGCACAAAAGGTCTCATCTAAGTAATTGCAGGAACTAAGAGCCTTGTGGCTGATCAGAGATCTTGCCTTTTGATTGCCTTAATAAAATCCTTTATTCAGATTCTTTCCCCTGCATTGTTATTCTTTCTTAATCTATAGGAACCCGGAAGTGCTGGGGCAGCCAGACAATTGGAGCCAGACAATTGAAACTGACCAGCAGCTGAATCGGGGAAGCTGGGGACAGAGCAGCTGGGGTGCTGCCGGGTTGGTCCCGTAGCGCTGCCCCTCAGGGCTGCAGGACCAACCCGGCAGCTCCCCAGCTGCTCTTGGGGATGCCTGGAGCAGAGCAGCTCGATAAAGATGAACCTTGTTTGTTCTCATTCAGATCCCATTGCTGGGGATTTCCTGTGTTTTGAGTAGCACCGGTTTCTTTTCCAAAGCCTTACAGGGTGGCACTTGTGCAAGACTTTCATTTTCACTTTCTGAAGTTGCGCCTGTCATTAAAGTTTCTCAGATTTTAATTTACTGTTAGAGAATGCGACAATTGACAGCTTTACATGGCTTTTTTAAGAGCACAAAAAAAAAACCCACTCATTTGGGGGTTCTTTTGGGATAGACAAACCTCGCCTTGGAGTACAGCCTACAAGCACCCCGATACAGGCATCTTCTTAAATTAGAAAGCCAAATTGTCCCTTCATAATAGTAGTTTTTTATTCTATCGTATACTGTGCATGGAAAAAGCAATCTTACAGTACATTTCCTACTGACAGTAGATTTCAGATAGAGAAATCACAGAGAAATGATCAGATCATTACGTTGCTCACTGCAAACAGGCATTCTTCCCAAACTGCACTGAACCAAAGTCCACACGCTGTTTAAACACAAACGCTGCCCATCTGCTCCGTCTTTATTAACAACAACAAAAAGACAAAGACAAGAATTAGATCTTTTCTGCCCCCTGGGGTGCTCATAGGGTTCTTACCTGAGAACGACTCGGCCACAGTCCTCTAAGTAACTAGACCCTCCCACCACACTTACACCCAGTTGGAGAAGTTAGTCAGCTGTCTCTGAGTCAGAAGAACCCACTTAACCCCTTCCCAGCAGAACTAGGACCTGCAGCCTTTAGAAAAACACTGCAACTCTTGTACACTCAGTCCAGCTACACCTTTGAATGCTGCTGCCTTTTCTCAAGTATTTCCCTTCCTGAGATGTGAGCAGCCTTATATTTAAAATCCTAAATAGAGGTGAAAGTAAGTGGGTGCGCCCTGTAGCGCAGCTCTGGCAAGAGCTGGCTGAGCTGTGGCAAAAGCCAGCAGGGAGCTGTTTAAAGAGCTGGCAGGGACCTGGCTTGCAATAGGACAGTACCTGTAAGAAATTGTAAGTTACTTTCACTGCCGAGCCTAAAATATTTCCTTGCAGTTAACAGCACACTCCTTCCTATGACCCTTCCCAAGAGCTCATTTTAGGAACAGGAAAGGCCAGGACCAGTCAGAGAACTCACAAACACAGGACATCACCCAGTTTAATTTTATCATCAGTGGCACTACAACAGAAGTCCAGTCAACTATATTAATTATTCTTGATATTTGATTTCTGCACCCCGACCCATTTTTGTCTCAATTTCATACCCTCCCTCTGCCTCCTCCGCTGTCCTAGAATTTTCTGAAACCTTCTCCCTTCAGGGCTCTTGTCCAGTGTGCAGCCTATCTAATTTCATTTTTTCAAACACTTACAAAGCCAAAGCCATCTCTTTCCAAAGCCACTATTCTAGATGCAGTGTTATAGTTACATACACTACACTTTTCCTTTAAATTATTTTTAAAAAGTTTTATGTGGGGGTGGGTGTCACATGCGCTGCACCTATAATTAGAAATAATTCCATTTATTTCACAGCCTGCCCCTCTGCCAATCTCTCAGGGTGCATCTACGCAGCACCCTAAACTCAAAATAGATTATTTTGAAATTTGACACATCTACACAACAAATAACTCGCTATTTCGAGCCATCCCTTAGCTGTCATCCAAAATATTTTGAAGTAACAGGCGGCTTGTGTAGACGCAGGGTATCCCGAAATAGCCATGGAATGTAGACGTATCCTCAGCTGTATTTTTAAATTCCACAGTAGCTTCTCTTCAGAGCAACAGAAACCATTTTCAGTGACTATATTGTCATCAGTTTCAATGTTGATGTCCTATAAGCTTTTGTCTAAATATTTGGGCTACGTACAGCTTCACTATTTCCCATGGAACTGGTAAGGACCTTGAGGTCACTGGTTCCAGCACTTTCCTGAATTATTTCCCCATTTCACAGAGCGGTCATTGAAATAATATAGTAAGGATTACTATAGAATAGGCTCAGTAGCGCTACAAGCAATGCCCTCCCCTCTCCAGGATCTGATCACCCAAAGACAGTCTGCTCTGATGACATAATGCCCATGTAACCCGTCTGCCTGGTTGTGTTGGCAGCAACAAAGGCTGGGCTCAATATCTAAGGGTTCCTGTTAACATTACAAAACAGAACCAGCTCAAGCCCCCACCCAGAAATCTAGGGAAACTAAATACTGGCCCTGGGTGAGTCTAAGCAGCAATACTACACCACCCACAAGCACAGAGTCTGTGTATAACAAAAGAAAACTTTCATTAAATGGGGAGAGAACTCTGCATTAATTTGGGTAAACATGGCAACAATGCTTCAACAGTAGACAAACCGTAAGTACATACCCAACCCACAGTACCTTGGGCAGTGATCTTTTACCTCAGTTTCCCACCTTGCACTTTGAAAATCCAACACACAAAAGTCCCTTTAGCACATCACTCTCCCTTTCTCTCTGCTTCACCCCATTCACAGCTGTTGTCTGAAATCCCAGAATTCATCGGTGCCTTCATGTTGGTTCACTTCCCACCCCTGAAGAGTGGGGGCAGGTTTGAGCTATTCTTCTGCTGCCTCCAGTCACCATTGCTGCTCTTGTCTCGACTGCAGCATGACACAGTCACTGCCTCTGCTACTCACGGCCTCCTCTGCCTCTAGCTGTGATGCCACATTCGGAGGTTCTGCCACTTCGCCTGGTTTTCAATGTGTTTAGCAGGGAACCCCACTACTGCGGCACTGTCTTTCACTGCAACACTGTCCCCACACCAGATCGGAGGTTCAGCCCCTTAAGTCTGCTCATTGGTGATTCAGCTCTAGTAAACAGTAATAAGATGATATGCATATTGACGGGAGATCAGTAAATGGCATCTAAGACTCTTTAAACAGACTCTGCGCCATCCTATAAAACACTTCTCCCTCAACCCTTTTGGCTTTTAGTTGAAGTTGGTATCACAACCCCCCTGTTTAGCAAATGAGGTCGCATTTAGGATGATTTCCCCCTTCATTTAGGACAGGGGTGGGGAAACTTGTTTCGTTCAGGGGTTGCTGACCCAGAGAAAAATCAGTCGTGGGCTGCACACAAGTGAGAAGCAAGTGAGATGTCCCTGACTGAGAAGAAGACAGACCCTCCCCACATTCCCTTTGCACACCAGAGCCTAGGGGGGCCCAGACTGGGCTAGGGGGGCCCAGACTGTGCTCCAGCCTTTCGGGTGGGTGGCTGGAGTGCCAGCGTGGACTTCCCAATGCTGAGTCTCGGGGGTCAGATCCAGGCAAGCCGGAAGCCACGGCCGGACCGCTGGCCTGAGGTGCCCCACCCCTGATTTAGATCATATTAAGTACAGGCTTGCTCCCTTTTACTCCTAATAAAAGAACAATATTTAATTTTTCCTGCATTCAAGACTAACGTGAATTTTAACCCCAAACAGCCAGAATTGGCCACGTTAGCAAAACTGGCAATTATGGCCTGCTCCTGAGTGTGGTTTAAAGTAAAAGGTTCGGAAATGTGGCTAGCCCCAGGGAGGCGCAGAAACAGGCAAACTATTACTAAATATCTTTTAAACTTTTATTGAAGGGCTTCTACATATAAATTATTATTTTATCGATTTCTTACATATGTAGGCACCAAATAAGTATTAGAATGACCAATAAGCAAAATGCAACACAGTAAAGAAAATTCCCTGAGGTTTTTCTAAATCCCAATAGTTGTTAACAAGGGACCAGGGATTACTAACAGCTACCTTTACATCAGTCTTACTTATAAGACTAATACTACCTCTAAACAATTTCAGATAACAATACTTACATTTAACAGACACACAAACTACAACAACATCATCATATTTGGTATACATTATATTTGGTATATGTTACACTCTACAGGAACTTATTTGGTTCAGTGAGCGGGAGGTGGCTCTCGGGTGATCAGTCCTCGGACCTGGCTCATATTCTGCCTTCCAATGTTTATTTGGGATTCCTCAATTTGATACAGGAGGGGTAGCTGTTTTATAGAGAAAGCTTTTGCGCACTTTTTGTGATAGGCTAGAAGACCCTGTCTGTTAAGTGACAGGAGGAAGGGGGTGAGATGGTTTCCTGTTTTTCCTTTTCTGCCTTATCCGGTATGGCACAGTCAGCACAACCAGCATGAACTTTACAGGTCTGGTTTTTGTTCCTGCCAGCAAAGAGTCTGCTTTCACACTGAGGTCTTTTTCCCAGTTCATCAGCAGATGGCAAGGGAATGTTCATTCAGACCCTGACTTGCACCATGAAACTGTACTGGAGCGTTCTGATGGAAGTGGAGTTTCTGTGGAACCAAACAAAGCAGAATTTTTTCTTTTCCCTCCACCTTGTACAGGGTTCATTCACTCCCACTCTATTATCTTACATTTACAAAAACGTATTATGATTTTCTAATGCTTCCATGTGCTTAACTGCTGTTCCTTCAAACACCAAAGGGGCAGTGAGTAACATTATACAGTAATTCTCAGCAGGTAATCTTCAAAAAACGGTCTGTTTGGCTTGGCAAGTGAGAGTGGACTGTGCTTTGAAAAGAGAATTTGAGCAAATGAGAAAAATTTAGAGCAAATAGTACAGAACTGAAAGAATAAAGGATATGTTCCTGTCAGTGGTCTGACCGGAGATTTTTGCTGTATCAAAGGGACTTGTGGCCAGGGTAAATTAGGTAAACCTGAGATGCACTGTTCACATTAAATTGTTAATTTACATAACGGTCTTGCCCAACCCAGAGATATATTCTCTGAGGCCCCAGTCTTAGAAACACTTATGCACAAGTGTAACTGACCTCAGAGGAACTACTCCAATCAGTAAAATTGGACATATAAGAGTCTGCACAGTTAGGCCTCGTGGCCCGAATTCTGCAACTAGAATAACATGGGTGGATGCCCTTTATAGATCCAAATGAAGAATCAGGTCCTACAGCTGTAGACAACCCCTTGGTAAAATGGCATTACCAGTTATAGCACGTTTAAAGCACAGACATACTGTTACAGGGCTGAGGAGATGGTAACACAACACTCTGGTTATTACAAAATAGCAGGTGATGTGTCTTTTTTTTTTACACACACACACACACACACACACACACACACACACACACACACACACTATAATTGTTCTCTATTAACTTCCATTTCCATAATATTCCTTTATGCCCTGGTTATGTAGTGAGAACTGCTCTTGTGTACAAGAAAAACAGTCCCCTTGCTGGAACAGCAGCTCACCCAATAGTAAATTCTGCCTTCTAATGCTGATGACCAAAAGAAGGTTTTAGGATGATATGGATTTCTCACTGTTGCTGTAGTGTTCTAATTAAATGCTGCAAATTCAATGGCTAAGGAGGGATAGACTTCTCTGCAGTTTATGTTGGTGAAAGGAGGGAAAGACATCAGATGTCAGCTTATTTCTATGTTACTTACCAATAAATCCACTTGCAGAGTTTGATGCATTTGTTTTTTTAAAAATTTGTTTGCTTTTAAGTGTAAATCTACTAATTATTGCAATTGTATTCAGGAAAAATTGTGTCAAATATGTCTTGGATACAGGCTCTGCCTGTACAAGAGCTGGACTTGGCCAAGTAGGGAAACTTGAGCCCAGCCAAAGAAATGTGGAAAGGGTTACTTCTTTTGGTAGTACAGAACTT